TTTTTTTTTCTGTGTTAGTGATATAAAAAGGCCTGAGAATATTATGTGACAGAGTTTGCATTAGATGAGGACACGTACTATGCTGTCTTGGTAAACATTCAATCCATTATATGGGACTCTCTTAGATTTAAATTTTGGATTTGGGTTGTTTTTACTAAATTGAATGAAGGCAGTTTATCTCTGCAATAACTGTAACTCTGCTATAAGATATGCTTGACATAAGGCAATAACAAATCTATATAATTTTAAAATAATCCTGTTTTAATAAAGAAATCGCTACATTTGTTTGTGTATTAAAATAAGTTAAAAGACATAATTTGGAGAATTTTAGTATTCTGTATTAAATCTGATATTTGACTTATTCTCCACCCAACACCAATTTTTGTATTTTGTTAAACATGAAGACATATTGTACTGACTAAGACTTATTATTTTTTTCACTTGTGTCTATTGTGCTAAAGAATTGTGGAAGAAAGGAGGGTAAATTCACCTATGTCAATTCCCTTGGAGAGACTGACCAAGAAAAGGACATTAATGCAAGAAACTGGGGGTAGTTGAATATTAAAACAGTCTTGGCTTGTAAAAAATGTTATATATTGTATTGTATTAATAATTGGTTTACAGGGGTGGATCCAGAGATATTTTCTGAGTCTTCCAAATTATCTTTGTCGATCCATCTTCCATTTTTGACCGTCTTCCAAAGGAAAAAAGTAAATACCCACCAATGTAAGCTCGGACCTTCTTTCAGAAGACCTTGAAGACAGTCTAAATCTTTCATCTGCCCCTGTGTTTATATTAATTATGTTAATTATATGTGCAAGGTGCAGACAATTCAATATTATGATTGGGTTAATAGATATAATTTTTCTTGTAATGTATTTTCAGCAACTTCTCCAGAAGAAAAAAAAAAAGGGTGCCAGTTTGTCACCATTGAACATGAAAAACAACTAGATGGCTACACTTGTCGGCTGTGGTGTATACATGTGAGTTATGCTACCTAGGAAGCACACATTTCAATATAAGTTCTAAACTTGTACACCTCTAAAGAGTCCCTAAGGGAAACATTTGTAGGCCAATGAAATAATTTTTAGATTTAAATTTTATTACTTAGCTCCCAAGCAAGGATTAAACATAATTCAATATGACCAGACCATGTTCATAAACACAGAGCAAAAATATAAACGCCCAATGTGAATTTATTAACATTTTATGAACAGCACAGACAGTTACCTGTAATGTATTGAACATCAAAATTACTTTTGTGTAGACATATTTGTATATATATATATATATATATATATATATATATATATATATATATATATACATTAAACCATTGTGTAGGGATTTTCCTTTTTTCCTGGTATATTAATAGAATCATTATTAATTTTTATTCAGGCAGTGGAGTACCTGTTGGAATATGGCTTGGGCAAATTAACAAAGTCTTTGAAAGATGTGCCATCCAGACTTTTTAATAGGCTAAATGTAGCCATTCTGGTTTTAAGAAATATTGGTATGAATATGGAATTTAATTTTGTTAAAAAAATGATAATGAGAATTATGATATTTATTTATGTATTAAGTAAGAGTTGGATGTTAGATTTAAAATACAAAAATCTAGCTTGTATTCGTATTTATTTTCAATAATGTATTAATATTTAAATTTATGAATTTAATGCGTTTGATTGCTTTAAAGTTTTTTATGCCCTGAAAAAGCCTTTAAGGATCTCTCAGTTTTTGACACTTAAAATTCCTGGACTCTTGTAGCTTCCAAAATAGATGGGGTCATGTTTTCCCACCTGTCTGTCTGGAAATGTCACTGTTTTGTCCCTTTGGTTTGATGTTTAATGCTAATAACTAATATAGTATCTTTTTCTTGATTTTCAGTTGTTGCAGACAAAAGCCACTTCAAAATAATACCTATCGGCATAAGAGCAGATTAATTTTGTCATAATGCAACACTTGTGACAGTTTTTTTTAAATTATACAAGTGCAAAAGGGGA